CATCGAGTCCAAAGCAACCCTCCAAAGAGCATCCTATGGAAACCCTATCTCCATAATCCTGCATTTCCCATGGCTAACCCACCTATCCCTGGACACTGGGGGCAATTTAGCATGGCCAATCCCCACCTAACACGCACATCTTTGGACTGTGGGAGGAAACCCGGGTACCAGCAGGAAAGAACGTACATACTCGACACAATCAGTTGCCCAAAGGTGGAATCCAACCTAGGTCCCTGGCACTGTGAGTGCCAAACATTGTGCCACCACGGTGCCCAATTACTGGGTGCAGTAAATTGTGTTTTCGGCCTTTAAATGCAGGTAGTGGCAATTTTGCCTGTGGAAAATGTACAGCATTATTTTGGCTGCAAACAGAGACAAACCATCATTCTGGCTACAAAGGGTTGTGTCAAAACAAAGGGTGGTAGAGGTTTGGAACTCTCTTTTACAAATGACAGCAGATGCTGGTTCAGTTGTCCAATTCAAATCGGAGATAGATATATTTTTGCTTAGCAAAAGGTATTAAGTCAGATGGGTCAAAGACAGGTATATGGCCACAAGTCAGCCATGACTTCATTCAATGGTGGAGTAGGCTTGAGAGATTGAATTAACTACTCCTATTCGCCTATTCCTAAAAGATAGGAGGATTCTAGTAAGCAATGCAGAGTTACAATACTGTGAATTTATAACCTTTAAATTTTGAGGACCTGATTTCTCTCCACAGATACATCCAGGCCTGCTCAGCTTTTCCAGCAATGTCTGTTTTTTGTGTAGCATCACAGTTCTGTCGGTGTTTATAAAATTTAACGCCTTAAAAAAAAATGTAACATTGCCAAAGTTCATGAAATAATGCAGCCTTGAACCTACATAAAATATCACCTCCTATGTATCCTGGGCCTATCAAGGCACAAGTCAAGTGATGGAGTATTTTCCCCTTTTTTAGACGCGTGTATTCCAACTGCACCCAAAGAAATAGGCACCATCTAGGACAAAGCAGCCCACTTTACTGGCTCCTTCAACATTCAACCCCTCCACCACTGACACACAGTAACAGCAGGGTGTATTGCAACAGGACCCTTCAACAACACCTTTCAAATCACAATCATTACCACCCAAAAAGGTCAAGGACAGCAGATAAATGGGAACACCACTGCCTGCAAGTCCCTCTCCAGCATTCTGATTTGGAAATATATTATTATTCCTTCATTGTTGCTGAATCAAAATCTTGGAACCCCCCCTCCCTGACAGCATTGTGGATAGATCTCCATCTCAAGAACTAGAGCAGTTCAAGAAGGCAGCTCCTTGTAAGGGCAATTAGGGTGGCGAAATAAATTCTGGCTTAGTCAGAGAATATGCACCCCATGAAAAAAAATTAAAAAAGAAACCTCCCGTTCTCCCTTCAACCTCCTGTAGCCCCACAACCTTCCCTATTTCTGAACTCTTCCAAATTTGTGCATTTGCTCGTGTCTAATTTTAATTTTATGCCCACTAGTGGCCAAGCCTAAAAATGCCTAGACTGGAAGTTTTGGCGTTCCGTTTCTCACCTTTCTGTTTTCTCTAACTTTCCCTCCTTGCTTGCAATCTGCTTTATTTGACCATGATTTGGGGTATTAATGTGTTCTGGTATTAATTTTTTTTAGCAAACACTGCGCCTGAGGACACCTAACTGAATGAATGATACTAATGCAAATTGTTATTGCTATTGTTATCGTTATTGACTCTCTCCTTCATGTCCAGACAGAAATCGCTGCTGATCTTTTATTTGGACTTAACTATAGACAAAAAGATTCAGGGCAATGTTACAACTCCTTATTAAACACCAACAAAGCTCGTTTCAAATGGATCTTAATGACATCCTGGAATTAAAATTAACTTGGTCTTCATTTCTGCAGTAGCAAATCACAGTGCCATCTGTTCACATATATCTTGACTGGTGTTAAAAGTCTGGACAACACTATAATGAGTTCTTCTTAATGAAGAATATAGAATCCCTACAGCAGGCCATTCAGCCCAAACCAACCGTCCAAAGGACATCCGACCCAGACCAACCCCCTACCCTATAACCCTGCATTTCCCATGGCTAGTGCACCTAATCTACACACAACAGGCAATTTAGCATGGCCAATCCATCCAACCTTTGGACTATGGGAAAAAACAGGAGCACATCCACAGGGGGAGGGAGAACTGGCAAACTCCACACGGAAATAAACGCAGGTATCTAGCAATGGGAGAATGCTGACTACTGACCCATCATGCCACCCCAATGCTTTGGGATGTGATTCTGCAACACTAATGATAGAGGGTACTCAGAGACACCACAGTAAAGGCATGGATCATTAGTTCACTGGGCAATTGATCCCTTTCACTCTGAAAGAGCTATTCTCCTTGCCCCTTTAAAACCTGAGGTGTGGGGAGCGGAGTGTGGTGGTGTGGGGGAACTCGAGGGTAGTGTCGAGGGAATAAAATCGAAGGGTTGCACATTTACTGTTTCATGGCTAATTGTACACTATGAACAGGAGAAACACACCATACCATCAACTGCAAGAAAGATATTTCTTTTTCTGAAGAAGGGTCCAAACCCGAAACATCAGCTTTCCTGCTCCGCTGATGCTGCCTGGCCTGCTGTGTTCCTCCAGCTCCACACCTTGTTGCTGCATCGGCAGTTCCTACTATCTCTAAGATATCTACCTATCTGTTTTTAGGGGTAACTGGAAATACCGCTTTAGACCTGGGAGAGCTGAGCAGGTCATGCACAGAGCAGGGTTCACTAGTGTCATGGTCTGGTGATATTTAGGAAAAAAAATGCAAGAAATTGCCATTTTTCTTAAATGAAAATTTAACTTGACTGCAACTGGATGACAGAAGCTAAAAATTGCCTATTTCAATTTATCTGATTGTACAAATCAAGTTCTACATAGATTACAGAGAAACATGCCAGGAAATGTAACAAATCTAGTCCAGAAGTTAAAAAAAGTACCTCATTACTTGTTGTGAGAATGTAATTACATTTTGACCTGTACAAAAGTTAAGAATCACAAGTAGGAGATGAACAGTGTCTCAAAAGCCAAGTTATATGAAGCCTGACTTAGGATTTTGCATAGATCCCCTGGTAACATTGGCCCTCTATCTTGCTAGTTAATAATGTTTGAAAGAGACAAGCTGCCTAAACAAAGAGAGATTCCATTTTAAACTATCCAGAAGAAAGAGCTTTCTCAGCAGAGGGGCTGAGAAAGGGAGAGGCATCTTATAACACCTAGAGATCTGTTGATTGTAACACTGCAGGGCCAGAGCCAGGACTCCCAGAATCTGCTGTCCTATTGAGCCTACCTGTATACGAACCATTCAACTATGGAAGCCATCACATCTGACGAATCTGACTTCAAGTGTTAACCTTTCTGTTTTAGCAAGAAGGAACGCCAGCAATGGGCTCCAATGGCATTTCAGAAAAAATTTATTGGGACTCACTTCTTCTGAAGTTTTGTTTTTAAGTCTGATATCTCAATTCCTTGTTAATAATTATATCACTTTATTCCTAAGGAACCCTCAGTAACAACTTGTAGTAAACTAATATTTAACCAATTTAAACCAATAGCTTAAATGCTAGTATGCTTGAACTCGGATCTTGCGTATTAAAAAGGAATTCTTTGAGTTCATTGTGGGATGTGTCTCTGGTTTTGCCAGCATTTACAGTCTATCCCTAGTTGCCCAAATTAACTCAATGAACTGTGTTAATCTGTTATTGACAACACTCCCTAGAGATCCAATCGTGACAGTGGGTTGTGGTGTATTTTTCAGTGGAAACTCAAATGGGCATTATCTTTCTGATCAGCATAATCAGCTGGTATATAGGCCACTTCGGGCTACATTTCCCCATACTTCCAAACAGCCAGGGACTTAAGATCATATCCAGAATTAAATCCCAGAAACTCTGTATGCACTACCCAGTCCTCGGTTAGGATAAATTGCCTCTTAGGTCCTTCTAACATTTCGCACTATCTGTAGATCTGTTCCAGATTCTTGGTAATCCTTGTGTACTTTGAGGTTTAACACCAAAATTGAACATGATAGTTTAAATGAATGATAGACCGACCAGAATAGTCTCCAGAGATTTGTACTTCATTCTTCGAGCTTCATATCCCAGTGTTCCATTGGGCTTTTTAAATTGCTTTGGCACTGATCGGAGACATTGACAGTAATAAATCAACATCACAGCCAACCCGTAAATTATGGCTCTTCACAGTCATGGAACTAACGCAATATGGTATTGCTTCACTGTGTATTACGTGCTCAATGTTCAGTGCCCAGAATGTAACCATTGCAGTTTGTTAACACAAGCATTCCTTCATTCCAGAAGCAATTTAGCAAGATTCATCAGCAGCTTGTATCTGCAACATTCCTGCGTCTTTGGCATTTCTGAAAGAAATCTTGAACACCTCCTATAGGAAGGATGCTGTGAAACTAGAAAGGGTTCGGAAAAGATTTACTAAGGGTTTGAGCTACAGGGAGAGGCTGAATAGTCTGGGGCTATTTTTTCCTGGCGCGTCGGAGGCGGAGGGGTGACCTTTTTGAGGTTTATAAAATCATGAGGGGAATGGATAGGGTGAATAGCCAAGGTCTTTTCTCCAAGATGGGGGGAGTCCAAAACTAGAGGGAATAGGTTTAAAGTGAGATGGGAAAGATTTAAAAGGAACCTAAGGGGCAACTTTTTCACACAGAGGGTGGTGCGTGTATGGAATGATCTGCCGGAGGAGGCGATGGAGGCTGGTACTATTACAACTTTACAAAGGCATCTGGATGGGTAAATGAATAGGAAAGGTTTAGAGGGATATGGGCAATTGCTGGCAAATGGGACTAGATTTGTTTAGGATAGCTGGTTGGTATGAACAAGTTGGACCGAAGGGTCTGTTTCCGTGCTGTACAGCTCTATGACTCTATGACACTATCAGCAGTGGGCTACAGGCTTCAGTTTTCTGTCAATTTGTAGGAACTGAAATTATACGTACCTGAAAGAACAGTGAATACAGCGGCAAATGCATTCAGTTTGAGGCCGTCTATCACATTACTTGAGTGAAAGAGCTCGAGACACATCAGGCTGAAGCCAACAACTAAAAGCACGATATATAAAACTTCAGAGATGACCGACAACCAAAGAACACCTGCAACACAGGAGGCACAGTCTGAGAAATCACATGGGGAGACTGGAAGAGGAAATCTGAAACAATCTGAGCACATACTATGCGTGGTATGAATTGAACAAACCATTCTCTACTAGTTCACGGTAAATTTAGCTGCAAGATATGAAGCTGCATTAAAATATGTAATCATAAAGTGAATTAAGAATGACTTGAGATGAAGTGAAATAGAAATAATAGTTCAAATAGACAAATAACTTAATATTTTACTAAATCTTATGGAAATGCTGAAAAACTGCTTATAACAATCTCGAAGTTCAGATTATATTTTCACTCCAATGACCTTTAAACAATTCATTAACATGATTGTTAATCAACTTTTATACATTAACCATGTTTTAATCCCAGAGACATAATTGATTTTTATAATTTAAAGATCACTGAAGCATTAATAAAATTGAATCCAGTTCTAATTTCCAGTTGGAGTTCTCTAATATCTATAGTGCTTGCTCGTTAACTAAACAAATTACTCAAGGAAACAAAGATCGGATTTCATGTTAAAATCAATCGAATTCATTTTTTAAGGCAGCAACTTTGCTTTGAGATAAAAAAACGCTAAGGCTCAAAAATTGCTAAATGGTACTTTCTACTAATGGGACATGATTCCCAGCCAATGATAGTCGATGATATTGACCCCACTCAATTTATTGGGGTCAGCTACTTCACTTGGTGCTGGGTGCTATATAGCTGTGGTCAAACACCTCAGATGAATGCAAAAGTCAAAAGAATTGCCAATTGCTGAGTTGGAAGCTGAGCAGCAGGTGTAAGGGATTAAAGGAAATGCAGCAGGAAGTAGAAGAACAGGAAGAAGGGTGATAGGTCAAACATGAGCGCTCATTGCACTCAATACCAATAACCTCAAACACGCTTCCCCATTGACAAACAGCCACACAGTCATGCAAAGGAACTCTCCTTTCAGTTTTTGTTTTCAAGTTGTTGTTTATCAATTAATCTAATTCTCTAATTCTTCATTTCAGTATTCAAAACGAGAAGCTTACAAGCACACCCAATGTTCTGTGGCTGGATGCAGTTTGATGTCATATTGTGCATTTGAATTGAGCAGGCTGGTGAAGGAGAAGGCAAAGGCTAGGACCGTCTTCAGTCTGAGGCTTCAAAATAACGCTTTTTAATATATTAATATTAAATACTTCTGTACAGTGTAGTCATGGATATACCAGGCACTGACTTATAGTTACATCAGATAAGGCCATTTTCATGTGCTCACGTCCATGTGGTGATCTGGTCTGGGAAAGAGCTCCAGGCTATTCTAACAGCACCCACATTTTGCTATTTATACTCAGTGATGAACAGCTCTCAAACATTATCACAAGGTTACCTCAGGGTCCTTACATAGCATCCATACCACAAGTTTTTCTCTCCTGTCATAAGCATTAATGAACAAGTCCATACATTCTCAAATGAGTTACTTTGATTCATTATTTTCATAATATTTACTGTACTTTTTTTTTCCCCTTGTCTTTCCTATCCCTCTCCAAGTTTTTGACCTGATCCACGATCAGAAAGAGGTAAAATTGTTCTCTGCTGGCTTCCACTAGATCAGAGGTTGGATTGATCTGACTGAAGGCATTTGGGGTGATGTAGCTGCAGGAGGTTATGACAATTCTGAGGTGGTTATAGATCTTGTACTCGATTATAAGTGACGGACACAGTTATTAGTTTGCTAGGAAGGGATGAAATAGTCTATTCATGCATTTTTGTTCGTCATGAGAAGCATGTTCCCTTGCTGTATTGATGATGTATGTTCCAAGACATGAATGCATATGTTGAGTTGGAAACAATTTGATTTGGTATGTTCCTCAGACAGTTGCACATCATTGAGAGGTGGCCTCTTTTGCTACAATGAGTACATTTTTGGTGGAATGCTAGACAGTTTTTCATGAAGCTTTGGAATTACTCCTGTCATAAGATAGCATTAAATTGTTCAGGATTTTGAGTTAATGTTTTCACATTTGGTATATTATTCGTATGAGAAATCTGTTTCCTCTGGTTCAGATGGTTCATTGCAGTGTAAGTAGTCTGCTATAGGAAGGATGATGCAAAACTTGAAAGGGTTCAGAAAAGATTTACAAGGATGTTGCCAGGATTGGAGGCTTTGAGCTACAGGGAGAGGTTGAATAGGCTGGGGCTATTTTCCCTGGAGCGTCAGAGGTTGAGGGGTGACCTTATACAGGTTTATAAAATCATGAGGCGCATGGATAGGGTGAATAGCCAAGGTCTTTTCCCCAGGGTGGGGGAGTCCAAAACTGGAGGGAGTAGACTTAAAGGTGAGAGAGGAAAGATTTAAAAGGGACCTAAGGGGCAACTTTTTCATGCAGAGGGTGGTGCGTGTATGGAATGAGTTGCCAGAGGAAGTGGTGGAGGCTGGTACAATTCCAACATTTAAAAGGCATCTGGATGGGTGTATGAATAGGAAGGGTTTAGAGGGATATGGACCAAATGCTGGCAAATGGGGCTAGTTTAATTTAGGATGTCTGGTTGGCATGGATGAGTTGGAACAAAGGGTTTATTTCCATGACAACAAGGTGTAGAGCTGGATGAACACAGCAGGCCAAGCAGCATCATAGGAGCAGATAACAAGGTGTAAGGGTCTAGGCCCAAAACGTCAGCTTTCCTGCTCCTATGATGCTGC